CAAATTATAAGAATTCCAGCAATACAAATTATATTACAACCCTGACAATTGTATGAATTTTATGAGCTAAAACAGGCAGTCAGGCAGGAATTGGTAATTGAGGCAAATCTAAAAATAACGTCTATAGGACACTCACAGCGTATATGTGGAAAAATCAGCGTTAAGTGAAAGTTCAGCTTTGGCAAGGCACAGCGTATATGCAGCAGCGTTAAGTGCGACGATTAGGCAGGAATAAACTGTGTGTGTGTGTGTGTGTGACATAGCCCATATATATATATATATATATATATATATATATATATATATATATATATATATATATATATATATATATATATATATATATATATATATATATATATATATATATATATATATATATATATATATATATATATATATATATATATATATATATATATATATATATATATATATATATATATATATATATTTCATGTAAATCCACAATGAAAACGTGGATAAAAGATAATCTTGATAAAATCACCCTGTATATTTAAGCCTCTCTCTGTCCATGTAATCCAGTTGCCTCTGAAGATGTCTTGAATAAAGACGAAAGCTAAAAATTACTCCGTTGTTTCCATTTTCGTGTGATTTATCAAGGAATATATATATACTGTATATATATATATATATATATATATATATATATATATATATATATATATATATATATATATATATATATATATATATATATATATACCTAGACCCCGGCTTTGTGGGGTTAGGGATAAATCCAGGTCGTAAGTCCCGATATGGTCGTAAGTCCGATATAGATAAAAATAAAATAAAAAATAAAAGAATTTCAAAAAAAAAATTCAAATTTTTTTTTCAAATTCTTTAAAATCTACAATGAAATACAGTACACTAAACGTAAAAAATAATGAGGAATGGATACAGTACCCAGTAAAAGTAATAAATAATGAGGAATGGATACAGTGTGACTGAGCACTTACCTTAAATATAGTCAGCTGAATGCCTAGAGCCCCCATAATTTTCTATTTACAGGATACATGGAGACTATATTAATTGGAAGAAGCAGAAGAGAACCTTGGGGCTGGGTGGGTCATCAATGTAAGCTTCCTTCAGACAGGTTTATGTACTGTGGTAACTTGCTGGTTGAAGGTGTTGGATCATCTTGAGGGTGAAGAGGCAGCACTGGTGGGGCGTGAGGAGCCAGTACTGGGGACTTCTTGAAATAGGTGTCCAATTTAGATTTTTTGATTTTCTTTTTCTTTTTCATTGCCATTTCTGTAACCACTTAAGTGAATCTTCTTGGATCATTCTGTCAACTTTGGCACTTAGCAGCTCATAATTTTGATCCCATGTCATCAAAACATTTGCATTGCTTTATTAATTATAACCAAATGCCTCACCACCATATGTTTCATAGAAAACTTTTGGGGGGGTGCAGGCTCTTCTTCTGCATTTGTCTCTCTTCTTCCTCTGCAACTTTCTGTGCATCTAGTTCAATAAGATCCTCGTTACTGAGCTCTTCTGCCACTTCCAATAACTGTCCAACATCTTCAGTATCAATTTCTAACTCCAGCTGTTTACCTAACTCCACTATCTTGTTACTAATATCCAAAAATACTTCCTTTCATTAAATCCTTTGAAACTGTTCACATATCTTTTCAGGATTTACTCTTCCATATTCCATTCATGCGATGTTTTGTAACCTGATCCCATGCTGCATAATGTTCTTTATACATGACAAATCGGCCTCCTTCCAAAAACTGTCTGAAGCGTTTTCTCACCTTCAATGCCCAGCAACAGCCTGAGAAAGGCGAAGGTCGTCGCGTAAATATCGCTTTATAGGCAGAAATAACTTTGCTTGATCCATGGGTTGGATGATAGAGTAGTGTTAGTGGCATGTACACTACCTTAACATCCAGGAGTACATGTAGATCCAGGTGTGGTGGGTGTCCCCAGACATTATCCAAAATCAGTAAAATCTTGAATAAGGAATTCCTTTGTTGCAGACAATACTCCTTGGCTCATGGAATGAAACAAGTCATGAACCAATCCTCAAATAGTACTAGGGTCATCAGGCTTTCTGTTACTGCGATAAAACACTGGCAGTGTGTGCTTGCTGACATGTTTAAAAGCCTGGGGTTCTCTGAATGATAGATCATGAAGGGCTTTTAGCTTGAAACAGCTTGTCCCCCCCAACAGAAGTGTAATTCTGTCCTTGAATACCTTGAATCCGGGCATTTTTGCCTCTTTGTGGATGTATATCCGGTCGGGCATCGTTTCCACAATAAAAATCAGTCTCATCCACATTGAATATTTGCTCTGGCAAATAATTCCCTTCCACAATCACATCATCTAACTCCTCCTTAAAAAGCAGCACCAACGCCGGCGCTAGCTGCCTCTCCGCTCTCACCTTAACACTGTGTGGGCTAGCAGCGTTTTTTTAAATCTATCAAACCACCCCTTGACTTCCCTGTAAAAGGTTTGATCACATTCATCTCCTGCCTGCTCCTTCAGGCTTTGGAACAGGCTTCTTGCTTTAGCCTGTATGGATTTAGAACACTTAAGGGTACTGCCTTCTGCATCTGAACTACTATCCATATCTTAATAATTTTTCCATATCGTGGATAGGACCTTGTCTTTTCAGCACTGTTAATTATAGTTCCCTTTATGAGTGTTGTTCCTTTCACTACTTCACGAATCGTTCCTTGTCCTTCAAGAATAGTGGATATAGTCGAGTGTAGAAACCTAGGTCGCGTGAGATCGTTGCTACTGTTTTCCATTCTCATACTGTGTTATTATCTTCAGTTTCATCTCAAAAGTAATTGCCTGTCTCCTTTCCTTGGGTACCACCAGCACTCACTTTTCGCTTTCCAGTCATTATAAAGTCAATTAAATACAATAATAGCGAAAGTTCACAAGCGCGATCAGTATAGGATCGATAGCCAAGCACAAACAAAGCGGCTCCACTGGTGGAGTGCAATACGAGGCGACCCAAGCCACCCTCCCTCTCGCCGGGGCGAAAACGTTTCGGTATAGCTGTATAGAAAATGCACTCATTTGAAAATTTTTTGGTCACGGGGACGCAGTCGATGTCCCGTATGGACGACGGTCAAAGCAGGTCGGAAGTACCAATGGGACGAAGTCCATATAGTCGTAAGTCGGGTCTGTGTGTGTGTATATATATATATATATATATATATATATATATATATATATATATATATATATATATATATATATATATATATATATATATATATATATATATATATATATATATATATATATATATATATATATATATATATATATATATATATATATATTTTTTTTTTTTTTTTTTTTTTTTTTTTTTCGAGGGAAATATTATTGGGGTAATTGACGCCTGGGTTGTGGTAACAGCAAGCCATCCAGCCAATTTAGAAATGTTGGTAGCCCAGCCTGGTTTATCGGGATCCCGACCCATCGTAGTGCTCGATGCACACTTTTGAATGACCTCGCCCGACACAAGCGTATGGTGCCCAATGGTCAGGCTTCATCTGGCATGACAACTGTAAATATGGCCCATAGTACAGTACAATATACCATCAGCATCAGCAAAATACAGTACATATACAGGTAAAAAAAATCTGGTTTTACTACCCGAGTCAGTTAAGAGGTTAATGCTCGAGTCAGTTAGAGGCATGGTAATTTGTTATATGCATACAATACTTTCACTAAGCCACTGACCCTATGTTTAATACAGTGAATATGTCACACTACAGATGTGGAGGGTAATGTTAACCCTTAAGCCCCAGGTTAAGGTGCTGCTGGCAGCCACCCCCTCCTCAGGGGATAAATCGAGAAAAAAAATCAACTAAAAAAAAAAAAAAGCAAGCAGGAAAGTAGGCGGATGTTCTGGAACGTCACCCGGGGCCTAAGGGTTAAAACAAGTACAGTTGAGTCTGGATTTACGCGGTTTTGGTTTACGCGTTTTGTCATTTACGCGGTACCTTGCCAGAATTGAAATGCTGGATTTAGGCGGTAAATTTGGTCATTTACGCGGGTGAAGTATAATTTGTTTATTTACTGAAGATACTTGTTTTAGCTCATAAAATTTATACAAATTACCCGGCCAGAATATAATTTACATTGCTGGAATTCTTACAATATGATGATCATTTTAAATAAAAACATCATGGATTTTGCATTAGACATCCAAATTTTGGATCTAATGTAAGAATTTTCATTAGAAAGAGCCAAAATTTTATCTTTTGTGCAAAATATATGACGTTTATATTCAAAATATTCCTGGTCTTGCAAGGAATCCAGCAATGTCAATTATATTCTCCTAACTTTAGTCTGAGGTATCATTTATTACTAAACATGTAGGCCTAGTGTTTTTTCCCAAACATTTCTCAGGGAGGGAGGAGCCAGCGAGCGTGGGAAAAGGAAGGGGGGAGGGGGGGTTGAGTTCATCATTTGAATGGACATTAACCGGTGACTGTAGTTCTCTTAAATATTAATTGTGTGTGCATATCATCATAAAATTAAGATGTTATTTTTACTACAACGTAGGTATTGTGTCGGTATTGTGTCGGAAAAAGTGGAGTTTGGGGGTCGGCCCAGTCTCTATTTCAATTAATTCCATATGTTCTGTTTAATCCCATATGTTCTGTTATTTCATTTAAGCGTTTCTCGTTTTACGCGGTACTCCGCGGGTTCAATTGACCGCGTAAATGAAGACCTAACTGTATAGCACTGTACTATAATATACTACCATATAACTTGCCTTGGATTTAATATTAAGTAGATATAATAATGAATGTGTGAACTAAAACACCATACAGATCTGAAAGTTATTTAAGTAGCTCAGCCTCTTCTTTGAAGAGCTACGCTCAGTGGAGCCTGTCACTTCTGGCCAACACCTAAAACTATGTTCAAACTTGTGGCTGTATCACAATGACCTTTAACTACTGTGTCTCACTACCTTTATATTCAATAATACATCCTGTTCTTACCTTGAAAATAGTCATGCCACCATCATGACCAGCAGCAAAGAGGTTGAGCGAGGGATGTGCAGCCAGAACCCAGAATCTGTCATGTTCACGACGGATGGTATGGAGACATATTCTTTTGGCCATGTCCCAAACACGGATGGATTTATCCTCAGAGTTAGATAATATCAATTCTTGTCTTGGGTGAAACATGACGCATGACACGTTGTTGTAGTGCCCACGGCAGGTGTCTACTTCCCAAGCCTAAGTAGATATGAAAAATTTTAATACAGTACTGTGAACCCTCGAAGATCCTGACTAAAATGGGGGATCACCTGTCTGAAAAAGCAGATAGTCCAAATCTTCCAGTGAATGTACTTAATGTATAAAAATGAACAATAATGATATGAAAAACACCCAAAATACAATACATATTATCCTGACCACTGGGGTTAGTTATACAGACTTTTTCCTGTGAAAAAGACATAATTTTGAGCAACATATTACTGTACTGTATTCAAATGTACTACACTAAAGGACTAAAAATTTTATCTCTTGGGCAAACTATGTGATGTTCATACGGTACTCAAATTATTTGTTGTCTTGCAGGGATTCCAGCAATGCAAGTTATATTCTACTAAGTTTAGTCTGTGACATTTTACAAGATAAAAACTTTATGCTTAAAACTAGCTTTACCCTGTTTTGGGAATGCTTCTTAGGGAGGCTTCTTAGCCCAGAACCCCTAATTTTTTAATCAAAATCTTCTGAAATCTGGATTTACAGGGTCCAAATCTTCGAGGATTCACTGTACAAATTACAGTACCCTGTACTTGTAAAATATTTCCCTTAAAATGATATACCCCAAAAAGCACATAATTATCAGTGATTAATTATTTTCATGACTCCTAAAAGAAACAGGTACAGTACATTAATATATACTACTGAATGAGACGTGTGAATGGGATAGGGGCAGTAGAATCAATGCAGGGACCATGGCCAAGGATTGAAATGGAATGGGTGAAGAAAGCAATTTACAAAATGAAGAATGGAAAGATGGCTGGAAGCTTTGGGATAGTTGCAGAAAAGCTGAAAGTATCAAGTGATGTAGAAGTGTTAATGGTGATCAAATTGACAAATGCAATCTTGATGGAATGTGTTGTTCCATACAACTGGCAGAAAGTAATGTGATCATGAATAAGGACTTAAAAGGGTTAATGCATGAACTACAGGGTCCTGAAGTTGCTAGTTCAGGCTATGAAAGTTGTGGAAAAAGTGACTGACAAACTGTCAAGAGAGAAAGTGGACATAAACGAAATGCAATTTGGGTTTATGCCAGATAGGGTGACTACAGAGGTACTATTAATGGCCAGGCAAATACAAGTGAAATATCTAGGGAAGGAGAGAAAGTTATACTTCATATTTGTAGACTTAAAGAAGGCATTTGACAGGGTACCACATGAAACAGTAAAGTAGGCAATGAGAAAACTGGGAGTTGATGAGTGCCTTGTTTGAGTGGTTATGGTTACAAGAGGACTCAAACACCACTGTGAGAGTAAATAGTGTGGAATTTGAGATGAAAGACGGGATCCATTAGGGGTCTTACTTGAGCCTTTTCTGCTTATCAAGGTCCTGGAGGCAATATCATAGGACTTTATGACTTGTCTACCCTGGGAGTTGTTGTATGCTGAAGACTTAGTGCTGCTAGGTGATGTCTTGAAGAGGTAATGGGAGTGTATGTGTATGTGGTGAACAAAATACAAGTGTTGACTATTGGTAAGGATGAGAGACTTGTGGTGGAAAGAGGAATATGGCCACATGCTGACTGTAAGAAGGGTGTTGGAAGAAACTCAATAATGTGCAATGAGTGTGCAAGGTGAGTACACAAGAGGTGGAGTGGATAGCAGATAGATGTTGCTGACTTGCAATGTTCTGTATGTGCAACTAATCATGTATCCATAGCAAGGCTGGATAAACTCAACATTGGGATATATCCCTGGACTGTGTTGATGAGTTCTGTAACTTAGATGACATGCCAGTCTAGATTCTGAAGCCTGCTCAGTTGCAAGGGTCTGAAGTGGCTGAAGAAAGTTTAGGAGTTGCAGCCATTTTTGACTAAGAGGATCTACTCTTCACTTGAAAAATGGACAGTTAAAGGGGATGACATAAGCAAGCTTGAGCAAGCTAAAATGAAAATGATGAGGTAGAAGTGCAATGTGACACTGAAAGACAGAAGAGTAAGGTGAGGTTCTATGCAGACATATGCTAAGATGGTTTGGGCATGGTGAGAGAATAGACGAGACCAATTGGATCAAGAGGTGCACTTGGTAAAAAAAAAACTACTGTTACAATTTCTGCGCGAAAAAAACCAACACTACAAACGAAGTGTTTCAAAAAACACTGAGGCATTCCCCGCATTGGTAGCCCTGCGCGTGTAAGGGTTCGGCCACACGTGCTCGAGACAAGTGATCGGCACTCTGAAATGAAACCCAGTATTAGACTTTCCGGAATTATCGACCGTATGGCGAAACGTCGTTGGGCCGGGTTCCATTAAGACAGCATGCAAAACTGTGGAGCTCTTCAGATGTTTCGGAACAGCATGGTATATTTTCCAATACGAATAAAGAATGACATAATGTGGCATTAGCCCAAAGTGAAGTAGCAATACAAACACAGATTCAAAATTCGGTTGCAAAATAATCTTATACCTTTACTATATCGACTAATTCTGCCAAACATATAATGCATTCCAATATGGCAACTCATCCATTTTCAGGGTTACTGTAGTCCACGGTGTGTGGGACATTTAATATAACATACAGTATAACTTATCTAGATATACTGACATTCTCCAGTCATATTGTAACAAAGTAATTCAATACTGTCAATGAAATAGCTAATTTTGGCCTACCAAATTAAGTAAATGTCTCAAATTCAGGCCTACCAACTCTCGTGAGACAACGGGAATGTTCAGTTGGAAAATCGTCAAACCCCACCTGTACGGTAGTTTTTTTACCGAGTGTACTTAAGCGTAAATGTAGAGGGGAAGAAAGCTAGGGTGAAGTCAAGAATCACATGATATGAAATGATATTAGAGTTAAGATCCTGACAAGAGCATGTGCAGCATGGAGAGCTGCCAACAGGTAATCACAGCTATCACATACAAGTTTGGAAAATGGCTTTACAAATTTGATGTTAAAGATGATGGCGAGAGTACCACTAACCTTGCAATCATTCATCCTCCAGAGCTTAACCTGACGATCATCTGAGCCTGAGATGACCAGAGGGAGAGTAGGGTGGAATGCAGCCCAGTTAACGCCACGGTCATGACCTTCCAGCACATGACGCACTGTGGCATCCCCTGCACTGAAAAGTTCTGGGTTGCGGGTGTGGTGGTCATCACTACCCCCAATCCCGCCCATTCCAGGAGAAACATTTTTCTTTCGAAGACCTGCCCAAGACCAATGTAAACGTTTAAAACACCCAATTCATAAAATGATCTTCAAAAAACATTGAAGTACATTCAAAAGTAATACAAAAGTTTTAATTAGGACAAACATATTACATTACATGCACATACTCTATACACCAGTATTTAAATACTTTTTTAGTTAGCTAAAGTTCACAAAATTCTTTTTAATAAGATTAGAGAGCAAATTGTAAGACAGCAGAAGCAAAGAGAACACAAGAAATACTACCAGTAGTTAATCATGCATAAACTTAAACCACAGCTGTCCTTCATCCTTCCCTCTATCAACATATACCCTCAATTCCCTCAAACTCCACCATCAATAACTCACTCTTCACCATAATCTGTTAATTTTTTAAAAAGTCGAATTATTGTACACGTATCCCTTGAGATACAAATGTTTGAGATATGATTATTCACTTATATGAAGTTCCTAAATTGACACAACTATTTCAAGATTCGCTTATACGAATTTGGGTCTGGGCAAAAAATTTATATCGTGCACCCTCTGAGAGTCAGCTGCGACAGCCACATCCCCCTAGCACTCTCCCTACCAGGATGAGGTTGAAGTTTTGTTTTGGTACATGTATTTCTTAGCTCATAATTTCGGGTACTGTATATAAACACAAATTTCTTCGAACGTTATTTTTTTATTCAGTTACATGCACACACAATCCTACATACAGAATGTCCAATATATACTATACACAGTATTTTCTCGATTTGACAAACTAATTTGAGCCACCCCTTTTCCATTTAATTGACATTTCCACTAAATCGAATTTCCGTGTTTTCACTTGATTTAGTGAAGTAGTTCACCAAATCGAGTGTGACTCCCGTTAAATACCGCAGCTTGGTGCGTGGGGTTTGTTTACATCCACTCAGTCTGTGTCCTGCTGCCACATGTGTGTTGTTCACTGCTACCTCTCAGTCAACTGCCTAATGGTATCTCCGTTAGCTGGAACAATTGGTGCAGAGCACTTCCAGGAATGAGATATTTCCAGGTAATAAGACGACTCTCAAATCCGGAAAAAAATCACTCGTCCTCCGAATTTTCCGGGTAATGGAAAAATTTTCTCATAAGTTCCAGAAATTGCCCATTACATCCTCTCTTGAACCTGGAAAAATATCCCCAATCCCCAGAATTTTCCGGGTATCGGAAAAATATTCATAATTTTCCAGAAAATGTGCCACAGAAAATTGTTCCAAAATTTGGAAAATTCCAGCATGACGAGGAGGAGGAGGTGGCGGTGGTGTTGTTCTTGTAGGTTTTGGTGGTGCTGTACGTTTTGTTGGTGGTGTAGGTTTTGTTGGTGGTGTAGGTTTTGTTGGTGGTGTAGGTTTTGTTGGTGGTGTAGGTTTTGGTGGTGTTGTAGGTTTTGGTGGTGGTGCAGGTTTTGGTGGTGGCGTAGGTTTTGGAAGTGTTGTAGGTTTTGGTGGTGGTGAGGTTTTGGTGGTGGTGTAGGTTTTGGTGGTGGGTGGTAGGTTTTGGTGGTGGTGTAGGTTTTGGTGGGTGGTAGGTTTTGGTGGTGTGGTAGGTGGTGGTTAGGTTTTGGTGGTGTAGGTATTGGTGGTGTTGCAGGTTTTGGTGGTGGTGAGGTTTTGGTAGGTGTAGGTTTGGTGGTGTTGTAGGTTTTGGTGGTGGGTGGTGTGGTTTTGGTGGTGCAGGTTTGGGTGGTGGTGAAGGTTTTGGTGGTGGTGTAGGTTTTGGTGTAGGTTTGTGGTGGTGTAGGTTTGTGGTGTGTAGGTGTTAGGTTTTGGTGGTGGTGAGGTTTTGGTGGTGGTGTAGGTATTGGTGGTGTTGTAGGTTTTGGTGGTGGTGTAGGTTTTTGGTGGTGGTGTAGGTTTGTGGTGTGTAGGTTTTGGTGGTGGTGTAGGTTTTGGTGGTGGTGTAGGTTTTGTAGGTTTTGGTTTTCGTGGTGGTGGTGGTTGTAAGGGCTGTAACGAGCGGGATGGTTGTCCGCCACTCGTTTGTGGCCCCACTAGGGGGGAGAGGACGGAGGTGAGAAGGTTGCTGCTGCCTCGTTGCACACTAGACACTATTCATCCGTCACCACAGCTGCACTTCCCCCGCTGTTCGATTCCAACTCTGGTTGTGTACTCATCTGAGGTTCCATGGGACTATGTGGGCTGATTCCCCAGTCCTTCACTATTCAGCTGTATCTCCAGTCACCTACTCCAGCTACTGCCGCGGCTGCCACGTGATCGCCACTTCCTCCACACCCTATCCACAGTCCGTGCCCTGGCGTCTATGCTGTGTGGCAAGACATCGCCCACCAACGCCAAGTGAGGAAGCTGCCCAGGACCTTCCCCCTGAGAGTGGATCACCGCATTACCAGAACATTCTACAGTGCTGGTGAGGAGGAAGATTCATCTGTAGCCGTAGGAAATACCTGTTCTTTGTTGTATTGATTGTTTTGTTTCAAGTAATTGTTTGACTCCAGTGCTGTTTATTTAATATTTGTGTGAGTGGTGTCAGAGTTAAATTAGTGTGAGTATTTTCTTAGTAAAGAGATGTCAATCTCTAATGGTTGTTTATTACCCCTTGGAAACCCATGGTTCTTGACTTTCCTTTTTATAAGATCCTGATTTGCCTGGCAAGGAATTATCAAAAGGCAATTTATTTCAAGGCATTAGCACTTCAGAGAGGATGTTAGACAAATTTTAATATTTATCATAAAAGGTCGATATAAATACGCGCAATCCGGGTGGAGGTAAAACGCTCAGGGGAACCAATCAGCTATTTGTAGCTATAGACGAGGGGCAGGACTTTTGGGCCAGCTTAGCGTGGAAATACTATAGTCGTCGTTGTTGTTCTAATGTCATTACTGCGCTTCAACAACTAAGGTTTTTAAGCATGTAACAAGGTTAATACCATACAGGTAGTTCTGCTATAACGCGATAATTGTGTTCTTGTAAAATATCGTGTTATAGAAAATCGCGTAATAGAAATAACAGGGCTTATGGAGAAAATAGGGTTAGGTGCAGATTACTCGAAATCGAAAAAATTTAGTAGTTAGCCTAACACAAAGGATAGCACAGTCTAAATAAATGTTACATTCATATCTAATAATGAAATCATACAGTATATGAAACACTTTACTTGATGGGGGAGAAGGGTGATTTTGAGGTTGATAAAATCGAGCTTCTCTTCAAGTGTTATATCCTTTCTTTTACGATCACCACCGGGAATTCTATCACCAGAACGCTTCTTGTTGATATTCTTCTTTACTATATTCACAGTTAATACAGTGGGGTATGCTATAACGAACGGATCCTACTACGAATATTCCTATAACGAACGGTTTAACCTATAAAATTGAGAATGCTATAACGAACGAAACTCCTACAACGAACATTATTTAATGTTTTTTTTCTAATTTATTGTTTTTTTATTACAAATATTAATGATATTCTTTATTTCAGGGGTTTAGATGCATATTTATGCACTTTTTTAAAATTTTTAAAATTTTATATTATATTTTTCAGTGTTAAGTGGTTGTATTTGGGGGCCTGGAACGGATTAATCCTATAACGAACAAGGTTCTAGAACCAATTAGATTCGTTATAGCATACCCCACTGTACCACAAAACTGGAGAAATAGTAAGCAAAAATCGCATTATAGCAAACAAGCGTTTGCGTTATACAAATATCGTTCCTAATTCATAAATCGCGTTAGAGCAAATTCGCGTTATCAAAACACGCGTTATAGCAGAACTCACTGTACAGTATTGTAATTGCACTCTTCCAACATCATTTAAAAAATTGAGATAAAACTCTAGTCTAAACCTAGTGGGCTCATATGGTTTACTGCATAGATTAGCACTAACTTTTCAAAACATTTGTAACCACCAATAAGAATACACAATAAAATCATAAATCATTGCATGGTAACGTTTAGAGAAGATGCCAACTGTGTGAATGGGTGAACTCCCATCAGTGTGTGAGCACCTAGTCACATCATAGACAACTCAATGTCAGTACTTGCAACCATGCTTGAGTAGTATCATCCTAATACATTACTAAAGTGTGGTGGAACTGTAAAAATGTAAATAACAAGTACCCTTGACCTTTGCTTTATGCAAATTCGCTAATATGCAAGAACCCTACTTCTACCCATAATTTGCTTAATGCGAAAAAAATTCGCCGTTATGTGCTCTGTCCAAGATATGTCGCACTAATGGTTTTGTGTAGCGTGTGGTGCGAGATGCTACAGTGCGATACATTGTGGGTGGCTAGTTAGACACCACACCACAACGTTTTGCAGTAGCCATGCATGTGTGAGGATCTATGCTTGTTGTGCTACTCTGTGTTGTGTTTTCAAGCCTTTTTGGACAGTTTTGTGGGACATTATGGCTCCTAAACATCCTGATTCTAGCCCTGGGCCTTCAACAGAGAGTAAGAGGACACAGTTAATGCTAGAAACAAAGATGGAATCATTAACCATGCTAAAGTTGGTGAAAGTTCATCTGCTCTCAACCATTACTACAATTTGAACAACTCCACCATTCGCAACATCAATGCTCATCTGAGTATCGAGGTAGGTAACAATGAGTGTAAGCGAATTTTATAATGCCAGTAGAGGCTGGCTTGTTAAGTTTGTGAAGCACCACAACTTCAACAACTTAATTGTTATGAGGGGATTATGCATTTGCCAACCACAAAGCAACTGCCAAATATCTAGAAGAACTTCAGCACATCATGAAAGAGTATGGTTTCACCGCTAAGCAAATCTTTAATGCTGGTAAAACAAGGCTTTTTTGGAAGCATACGCCTAAGAGGACATGCATCAGCAAAGAGGTAAAGAATGCTCTGGGTTTTAAGGTAGCGAAGGGCAGGCTGGCTGCTGTTGAGTATGAAATTTGGTTCACGAATCACTTTGTGTAGAAGCTGAACATTACTGCTAGGAGTCTAACCTTGCCTTCAATGTCCTTCTATTACTGGATAATGCTCCTGGCCATCCAAAACATCTCATTAGCAT